CACACACACACACACACACACACACAACGAGCGGGCGTTCCTTTGAGAGAGCAACCAAGAACCCCAGCAAACCAAAGAAACATCGAAGAGCCAAGGGGAAGATGGGTCGAGGGAGGTAGACAGGGGCGTCGAGTCTCCGAGAAACTGAATAATTCCAGGATCCAGGGGGGTGAGTCAACAACAATGACATTCAAAGGCAACAATTGCACTTGGGCTTTGTATCACGGGTACGGTACCTTTGGCTAATTGTCACCAGGCAGAACAGAGGGCTCCAGGAGTACTTCTTCAGTAGCGGGCGATCCTGGATGGAGTCTTCTTTGTGGCCAGTTTCCCGGGATCCAGTAGTATTTGCACTCCCCCTACCTGTCTGCGCGTCAGGGGCTGGGGGCTTTAAGGCAAAAGTGTGAAGCTTTAGCCCAAAGTGAGACTATTTCCTGGATTTAGGAGTCCGTTAATTCTCTGTACCTCAGAACTCTGCTAGCCTTTGGTGTCGAACAGGTTAAGCAGGGTGATTAAGGAGCTGGGGGTGGGGAGAGGGGGATAGAGGTAGAGGAAAGAGAGGTATGGGACTGGGAGAGATGCCGCACTTGCTACCAAAAGAAGAAGAAGAAAAAAAATCTGCTTTGGCTACTGAGCATGCCCAGTCCCTAGCTCAAGCCCTATAAGGGAGGCATTGTGTGCGTTCCACTTCTCCGGGCTTTGGTGGTGACCAGGAGGAGACTTTGGTTAGGGAGGGTGGTGGTGAATGGGAGACTTTAGGGGAAGGGAAGCAAGGTTTAAAGCTTTGGGGCTGTGCAGAAGGGTTTGTGAAGAGACCCTCGGCATACCTCCGAGAGACAGGAAAGGAGACAAAATGGTCTAAGAAAAGTCACTTCAGTAGCCCCTTCACTGTCATGTCTGTACTAAAGAGGCTCTTGCAGTTGCATCTCAAACATCCATCCAGAGTCCGCAAATCACGCGTGTGGATAGTCTAGGGCAGGCCCCTTTCTTCTACCCATTTGTTAGTACTTCCACCAGAGAGTAGGAATATCCCCGGGAAGAGCTAATGTTCAAACCAGTTTCGTGCAGATTGGTAATTGAGTCCTTATGTTTGATAAGAAAGCAAATCTAACTATGTTGGCTATCTTGTCTGTATTTCAAATACCTTGTTTTCCTAACAAGAAATGGCTGAATCTGTCCTTTAGCTCCCTTCCCCCCTAACCTTGCAGTTTTGTAGGGCTTGGCAAAGAAAAACAACTCTTTTTCTTTACTTTGTGTCTGTGGGAATAAACTGGCTTTAGGTAAATAGAGCTAAGTTATAAGTGGGAAGTATTTCCCTAGGACTCCTAGTAGTCCATTCTTTCATACATTTCAGGTAGTACTGCAGGGCCCATTTATTAAGGATCTAATCCACTTATTCAAATTCCAGCAGCTCTATCTACTATAGGGATAGCCAGTACCCAGAAATGCTTTTACTTAGAAATGAAAAACTCTTTTAAGCTAAAACTAGCAAGAGCTTTGAAACCAGAATTTGGCCGTCTGCCTGAACTCCTACAGTTAAACATTTACCATAATTGGTTGATGTTTAAAGGCCTCAAATTGAGGCAAAAAAAATCCAATGAGCAAAGGATTTATTACATTATTTGTGAATACTGCCTTACCTTCTATATCATTTGTAGTATCTATTCATGTAGTTATTTTTTTTTAATTTTTGTCATTTCATGAGGCTGCCTTTAGGTTATAATCTTGCAAATGTTTTCTGGACACAGTATTAATACAGAGATGCACATGCATTATTTAAATGAATATTTAAATAGATATGTGTATATAGGCATATTTCTTTGTGACCTTGGTGAATATTGCATCTTTTATAAAGAACCCTTTCTTCACCTCCACTCTCATTGCTCTTAAAATTTTCATCTTTCTCTTTTAAAATCAACCTAGAGGCAGAAATTGAGTGGGGAGCAATGGTAAAATTTTCTATATTTAATGGGAAATCCATTATGAAATAACATTGCTTAAGGAAACATGAAAGAATCTGTCCATAACAACATATGTAATTGTGCAACTCCTCTTGGTAAGGTGAAATATGTTTCCTTCATAGGTAACAGCTGCAGTACGTTGAAAAATCCCTTTACTGTTGTACATTTGAACAATACAGACCCTGCTAATTAAGAACTCACATTTGTACTATATTGTACAATGAAATGTGAAAATGGTAATGGATACCAAAACAAGTTGGCATTCATTCTAAATGCAAAGGTTTCAGGAAGCTACAATATATTTTATTAGGATAGGTGAATTGTTTGTCCTTTACTATAAATGTTAACAAGATTCAATAGGATGAGCCAAACATTTTTTACCTGAAACTATAATGCACATTCCAACTATATCATAGCTGAAAAGGCCAGGTTTGGACAGTAAATATCAGATGATTTAAATGTTTATCTTTATCAACTTTAAAAACTTTTGAGAGTTGACTATATTTGACTGCAATAACTGTGGAATGTTCTCCATATGGATCTGGAGACAAAAATCTGAAAAAAGTACACCTAGAACATCAATAAAGTTAATAATAGTGCTAACAACCTGATTAATATCGAATCATTAAAATGAATGCTTTAATTTGCTGCTTAAACGTGATAAAGTGGGTACTCAAAGAAATAACATAGAAGTAACAGCTTCCATGCCTTTTGTTTCTTTTGCATTCAGAGTAATTTAAAAAAACCAACCCTTTAGTCCTGCAGTCTCCTTTCTATCTCTTAGAACTACATGTGATATCCATAGGACAACAGTAAACTTAGGGAAATTGCTAGCTTAAGAAAAGGAAAGTAAATATATAAATAAATAAAAGTGTTAAGGAAACTTCAGCACTATTTATGGAGATCAAAAGAAAAACAAAGTTGGTGTTCTAAAATGCATGAATGCAAATATGGTGAGCCAGATTCAGTTTTTCTGCATGTTCCACTGCCCTTAACCTTGGCTTTGAAAGGAGTAGACCTGGAACCACAGTACTATGCTGATGCACTATGTCTCTCTCCTTCAGGGCAAATAAAGAACTGCACCATGAATTTCACCAAGCTTCTGGACAGCCTTAATTCCAAAGGCAGCTCTAGTAAATCAAACACTAACAACAAAAAATAACTCCAACAAAATGTGGCCCTAGTCAGTGGTCTTTCACTTTCATTGTATTTTTCATTTACTCTACCTTATCCTGCTGCTGCTTAAAATCAAATTAGCCTTAATATTGATATCCAGGTATCAGAGATTATTCAGTGTATCTTAATTCAAAAATTTATTTATACTCTGGAATTTAAAATAATTACAAACTTGGCATATCTCTAAGTGGAATACAAAACAAGCTCTTAGGATGTTAATATATCTTCTTCAAAGATGTTTCCATGATCAAATGAATTTAGGAGACCCTGATAAAGCTAAGCATTTTTTTTTAATTTTTGGAATTCAATTGTATTGAAAATGAATTCTGACTTAGAAGGGAAAAGGGCTAGGTAGAGCATGTACAATTTCTCATACTTATTTGACAATGTAATCCTTTTATATATATACTTTTAGAACCCTTGTACTAATTGCTCATTTTTTTGCAAATTTTATGGAACTTAGAAGCTGAAAAGTAGCTTTCAGATCATAATCTAATTCATACCGTAGTTGCTACTATCTATTGAGTGCCACTTCTCCTTAGTCATGTTGTCCCAAAACATCATTTTGTTCTATGAACAATACTACAAGGGAGAGATTCTTCTTAAAAAACAAAGTTCAGGGAAGTTAAGTGATTTGCCCAAGATCACACAGTGAGTAAGTGACAGTCAAGATTTGACCCCAGGTTTTTGAGGTTTTCCAGAAGCTGTACTATTCCTTGCCCACAGAGGAATCAAAGCACTTTTAATTTTGAAAGCTTAATAGATAAACCAAGCTTAAAGAATAAACCAATAAAGGACATGAACATAAGTTGTGCACTACAGGCACTACAGGGTCTCTTAAGTCAGCTGATTTTACCCTTCCCCAATAGTGGGCTTATTCCATTCACCCTGCTCTTTCAATTTTTATACCTGAGTTGATTCTGAACCTGTAATGATATCTCAAGTGTCTCCTTTGCTACTGCCAAATGCAGTCATGAAGCCTGGCTTGTGTAGCTCAGTGGTTGAGCATCAACCTAAGAACCAAGAGGTTGCAGTTCGATTCCTGGTCAAGGCATATGCCTGGATTGCAGGCTCAATCTCTGATCCCAAGGATGGGGCAGACAATCAATATTTGTCTCTCGTCATTGATGTTTCTATCTCTCCCTCTCCCTTCCTCTGTGAAATCAATAAAAATATATTAAAAAATTAAAAAATAAAGCAGTAAGATTCATCCCTACAGTTATTCCAGAGTTAATATTATATCTGGTAACCTGTTTTTTTTGTTTGTTTGTTTGTTTTGTTTTTCAGAACCTAAGAGATCAGCTGTTAATGTATTAAGGTCTGAGTACTCCAGGCATTGGTTAATTTTTCACAGGCACAGGATATTCCATTCACAAATTCTTTCTGGAGGATTAACAAAAAAGAATATGCTAATTTGAAGGATCTTTGTAGTTTTAGCTCTTAGTGAGTACTTGTTTATATGGCTCACTAGTATCACTTTATATTCGTTAGAATATCATTTTTCTTAGCCACAGATGCAGACATAATAGTATCTGTTCTATTTACCCATTTCTTTCTGAGTATTTTCTAACTTGAAGAAATCTCATCTTTCTAACATCAGAAATGAAGGCCTAGAAACAAGCACAACTGCCCTCAGACAACGAACAGATAATAAATATTGTGAAGTAAAAAATAGGGAGTTAATAGCCAGACAATCTACTGTGAGAATTATTCCCATGGGCTGTACAAGTTCCATAACACCAACCAGAGCTTTGTCAGAAAGACAGAACGTTGATGAGAATCCTTCCATTTTTACCATGCTCAATTCTATCTGGGAACCAGAATACCGTCACCAGCCAGAAAAACATGTTTTCATTTTGCAAAAATATTGAGGGTCATTTTTCCCAATGCTTTTATGCTTTTATTAGAGTATTATTTTTCCTTAGAAATTTAAACTTAAACTTTTCCTTCAAAATTGATCTCGTTTAAAGCCCGTTCCTTTTTGTTTTAGAGGTTACTTTTGTAAATTCAAAACGTGCTCAAAATCAGGAGCACAAAGCAAGGCAGAAAAGGCATAATATGAATATCTGAGTTATGGTGTGACTGTATCACCATCACTATATCAAAAATAAAATTTATCCTTTTCTGAGGCTCAAAGGGT